TCTACCAGTCAATATTCTGTAACGCCCAGTATGCAATGAACCATTCAGAAGAAACATACACAATTTAGGATTGATTCAGAATTTTATAGCTATACGCATTTTCAAAAACATACCTGTGGGCCAAAGAATTCCAGTGTTGATCAAGACCTTTCTCTTATAACCGTCCATGAATGCTGTCTCTATTCTAGGGCTAGGGCCAAGATCTGTCCAGAACATTACGCCTTGAGTGGGTGCCACTACTATGTCTCTAGGTTGCTGAACATTTCCACTAACCAAGGTGCAAACGTAGTCACCATCCAAAGAGGCTGCTATTATTCTGTTTCCGTCAGTTACATACATTCTCTTAGCAATCTGTAAATGAAAAAATATTTTACAAATGTGAAGTATCTCGATAACCATAACTTGTCGTGTCTGAGGACAAGGTTGATTCTAGCGAAATTTTTGACACAGATCTTAAATAAAAACCTTTAGTTGAAGAACATGCAGAAAAAATGAGTGATCTTTAAGCAGTTAAAATGAAAAGAATCATACCCAATCCAAGCTGATACCCCTTGGATCTTGCAAATTGGACAATACAGTTTTTGCTATTTCAGAATCTCTATTAGATCTTCCATCCTTGTCAACGTGTATAATCATAGACTGAACTCTCTTGTTTGGTGATCTGTCCAAAACGCTAAGTGTTGTTGATCGTTCGATATTAGTATGTCTACTGCATCCACTTTGTATCCTGGGGCTGTTGCAAGGGTCCTCCGTAGTTCGTTGTCGTCACGAGATTTATATGGAGATATTAGCCTGAGCTCTGCTTCTGAAGCAATAACTAATTCTGCCATTTTTCCTTTCGCTTGGCAATGTCCGTCTTCTACGTGTCTGAAAAAATGAAAAAAGTTCCTTGTTTATTTAATTTGGAATAAGCATTAAATTAATTCAATATGTAGGCTTATCCATATTCTAAGACCGCGGATATACTCTGACGAGGAAGGTGGAATTCGACAGGCTACAGGTCATGGGTGACCATTCTTTTCAGGCTGTCGGCTGAGGATTGCAGACCAAATAGAGAGCAAATTGGTATAGCGCATCTATCAGGTTCACCTATTACAAATTGACTAATATTACCATCAAAGAATCTACTGGAACGTTTAAAAAAAGATACTTTATTCTACTGACATTTATGAATTTCAATTAGTATTAGATCTATCAAAAATGAAAAATCATCAGGCAATCAAATATTTCCCTTGATGACCGATACGCTCACAAAACTTATAAATATTTCTCTTAACACAGGTGTTTACCTAGTTTACCAAATTAGATTAAGAGACTTTCTAAAACCTAAAATTATAAGTGCCAGCCAGTTTGGATTTCAAAAACCAAAAATACCATGGATGCTATTTTCACATTACTCCAACAGTTATACTTTTTTTGCGACTTTTCCAAAGCTTTTGACTGTGTAAATCATTACATACTATTAAGAAAATTAAACAAATACGGTTGTACTGGAACTTAACACATATTTAAATAATCGTTTCCAAATTGTAGAATTATCAAGACATTTCAAATAAATTAAATATAAATGCAGGAGTACCTTAAGGATCAGTATTAGGTCCGATCCTATTCATAGTCTAAATCAACGATTTATTAAACTTAAGCATAAATGGTGAATTCGTAGTTTTTGCTGACGATACCACAATACTTTGCAAGACAAAGATATGAATGAAATTAAGACCAAAAATTGATAGTGATATGCAATCAATCAAAAAATGGTGAGACAACAATTACTTGATTTTCAATGCTAATAAAACAAAATTTATGAAATTTAAATGATCCCTTGATTTTATAAATTTAAATAATGAATTGATACACAAAACAGACACCATCAAATTTTTGGGACTGACCGTTAATCACAAATTAGATTTTACTAATCATGTAGATACATTGCTTACTCAACTAGCAAAGGTTTCCTTAATTATAAGAACATTAGTTACAACGTAGGGAAAAGCATAGCCTTAAGCAGTTACTTTGCCTTATTTGAAAGTAAATTGAGATATAGCATTCCCTTTAGATGTGTCTGAGCTCAAAATGGTTTAAAAAAGGTGCTTATTCTACAAAAACGAATTATTCGATATATAGCTAAAATCTATTCTAGAGCTACATGCAGGCCTTTATTTATGAATCTTAAAATGATGATCATTGTTCATTTTAGAAACAGCAACTCTTGTTTTTTAGAATAAATAATAAATTTGTAACATCAAATATAAGTTAGGCTAGTTAAGCAATTTAAAGATATTCCGCGGTGAACTTAAAAACTGTTTAATATATAAACCACATTATATCTCTTGTATGAGTTATAAAATTCACCTACTTAAGATCCTTTCCTATTGTGTTCTAAAAATGACTGACATGAATTTCGATCAAGTGTGTGCTATCAGGGATTTACTTCAGACTTGGGAACATTGCAACAGAAACTCTTGCTAAACTTCAGCAGACCTACGGAGATAGTGTTTTGTCACGATTGAAGATGAACCACGAAGCGGACGGCCTTCATCTTAAAGAACCGAGGAAAATACCGACATAATCCGAGATCTTATGCGTTTAGGGGAAGAGTTAAATTTTACTCACACCAGCGTTCTTCAGATCAAGATGCTTTAAAGATAAACTCCCAATCATATGAAACATTTGCGAACGGTCCTTTTCTGAAGCACAGATAATTTCTGTTTATTATGCTAAGTTGAGACACGACTGAGGTATGCACTATGCTTCTGGGGTTAGTCCACAAATGTTCAGTAAGTGTTTTTGGCCCCGAAAAGAGATGTATGATCGGAGTCAGTAGTAGACATTGATCGTTGTCTGTAGTAGTCATTCTTGTAAGAATATTTTTGAGTGTTTTAAGATTTTAACTTTACCAGCATTATTTTTATATGAAATGGCTGTGTATACTTTTATTCACAAAAATAGGTTTTTAAACCATTTCAACTCGTTCTCGACCAGACAAGCTGGAGACTTAAATATGTGTTTTTTTATACTCCAACTACCACGAAGGCATATGGCCTAAACACCTAAGGGGTACCGTGGGGCTATAGGGGGGTACAGGGGAAAGGGGGGACGCCACACGGGCTCTGGCGAGGGAACACGTGTGCATGCAACATGCACACATTCTGGCCTCGGCTACGAGATCCGCCGGGTGGTACCTCCGCGTTCGACAGTCAGAGACCGTCTACCACCTACGACGTGTGTTTTGCCAAGTATAAGATCGGCGCCAGATCTCCGGAAATACTGGGTCCACGAATTTTCAATAGGCTACCAATCATATTAAAGAGTGTGGAAATATTCACAATTTTAAGGCTAATCTGACAGAATTTCAGGTAAATGTTGTTATGACGTTTCTGGGTTTCTTATTTTATGGTTTATTTGTCTTTGTTTGGTTTGTTTTATGCATATATTTAATTTGTGTGGTTTCATTACGTTTTACTCTCACAAATCCTATAGGTACTAATGTCTCTCAGGATAATAAAGAATTTGAATTTGAAGAACTGGGTGTTGCATCACGATATTGATCCTTGTCACACAGCAATGTCTATAACCGAGTTTTATTCCAGTAAAAACATTCCAGTGGCTCCTCAGCCTCCTTATTCGCCTAACTTGAGTCCTTGTGACTTTTTTCTTTTCGCGAAGTTCAAAAATCACCTCAAGGGAACTCATTTTGGGACAGTCGGAAACACTCAAATGGCTGAAGGCTACCTCAGCATCGGAGTGCCAGCACTGCTATGAGGAGTGGAAGAACCGTCTCCAGCACTGTGTGGCTCCAGAGGGACGTTATTTCGAGGATGGCAATATAAAATTGTAATTACATTTGAATAAAAAAATCAGTTTCATCACTTAATTTACAAACTGCGTATTTATCTATCATTGTATACTCACTCGTATCCCTCTATGCACTTGCACGACGTCCTATTCCAGGCGACCAGCACGCAAAGCTGCGAGCACGCGTCCCACGGACACATCGACTCCGTAGCGCACCTCGCTTCGTCCGATCCGTCCGAGCAGTCTACGCGTCCGTCGCACTCGAGAATGGCATCTATGCACCGGCCGTCCGAATTACACCGAATCTGCATGCGCGGACACAGGCCGTGCCGTTTGCACACGTGACGTTCCTCGTCGCTGCCGTCACCGCAGTTGTCGCGACCGTCGCAGAGGACTGTTACGGGAACGCAACGGTGGTTCTTGCATCTAGAAAAGGTCAAAACAGATGATCATGAATATCTTACTGAAAAAAATCACATTGAAGTATAAGTACATTAATAATAATCCTCTTTATGAGTGGCGAAATTTAGCATAGTGCTATTCTGCCACTTAACCCCCTAAAAAGTACAACGAAAAAACAAAACAGAATATTTCAATGTTAACAAAAGTAATACTCGTAATATATAAATATATATATATATATATATATATATATACCGGGTGTCCGCAAAGTTGGGGTTTTCCTTTTCAGAAACAACTACACTTGAAATAACAAAGGTAATGTGTAGTGAAACGAGGGCGACCAAGTAAAAAAAATAAAGGAAAAAGTACTCACTCTCCAGTTGACGAGAAGGGCTAAGTACGTCTCTGCCCGAAATCATACCGCTCCAACAGAAAATGAAATCAGCTGATGCGCTACCGAGCAGACGCCGGCGGTGTTGCAGACATCGAACAGAGGTAACAAATAAGAAGGCGTTGGCGCGTTTTCAGTTTTTAGGTAAACGTACTTTATAGGTATTGTTCGAAGTTATCGCCGTTTGATTCAAAAACACAGGTGCGTGCACGACGTAGCCAAGCATCGTTGCAGGCTTTGAGAATGGAGTCCCTCCCCCGAATGAAAGCACCAGCTTGTTCAATTCTGAGACGAAGTTCGTCAACCGTATGCACTTCAGTTTTGTACACTAAGCGTTTCATTTCTCCCCAAAGAAAAAAATCACATGGTGTTAAGTCTGGAGATCGCAGAGGCCACGCTACGGGTCCATTACGTCCGATCCACCTATTCGGAAATAATTCATTCAAAAACTCACGCACTTCGCGTCTAAAATGCCAGCCCAAACATTCACCGAAAATGTTTTTTGAAAATGTGCCCGACGGACAGCGTGCGGATTTTCTACTGACCAAGCATAAGTGTTGCGAAAGTTATTCACCCCATTACGCGTGAACGTAGATTCGTCTGTCACCAATATGCACTTCAAAAAGTCCGGATTATTGTCATGTTGATGCAACAACCACTCACAAAACCGCACTCTTGCTGGAAAATCGTCAGGTTGAAGGGCTTGTACACGTTGGACGTGAAACGGATACAGCCCCTCTTCACGCAGCGTATGCCACACTTTAGTTTTTGATACTTGTACTTCTCTAGCCACGTCTCTAGTGCTTGTTGTTTTTTAAAACGCAATCGATTATACGGGTTCGTTTACCTCTACACGCGTGACCGTAACCGTTAGTTGAAGGTTGCATACTGACCTGACACACTGACCCCGACCCAGTTCTGTCGTCGGGTTGAGCTAGTGTCCTAGTACCACTCGGGGATGTCGCGGGTCGCGGCTACAGGACGGTATTCAGATATTTTGATGTTGCAGAGCCCTTTATCCCGGTTCCCTTAAGACATTGGTGTATATGGTACTAAGAAAAATTGCTTATGTTTTCAAGATCTATACGTCGTGTAAAGGAAAACCCCAACTTTGCGGACACCCTGTATATACATATAAATATAAATAAGTTGTGTATAAAATATAAATTATAACAGTTTTACAGTTCAAAGAATTAAATTGTACATTTTACAGCAAATATGAGCAAGATGACAAGGCGCCAATTTTTTCCCACACTAATTGGTGAGGAAGACGGTATATATGAATTATTTCGAAATCTATCGTCTTTCGGTAATGCTTCGCCCTTCTAAGAGACATACAGTTCTGCTCGAGTTTTGGTGAACTTTTGGCACAACGATGAAGTTTTGTAGGCTTTGAAAGTCTGTCCAGTGGACTTGTTTCGACTTTTAACGTTCACTATTAAGGCAGAGTAACTCATATCTCACTTATCACTTATTCTCTCTCAACTATACCTAATTTTTTACATTTGCTTTAGCAGTGTGGCGAGGGCAAATTTTTCTAAGAGATATTGTAAAAGAAGAAACATTTACCTAAATCTACCCGTAGGACACGCAGCCGAAAAGCAATTCTGCTCATCAGAACCATCTTCACAATCATCCTGTCCATCGCATCTCCATTGTTCATTGATACAAAAGCCGTTTTGACATTTGAAACCGTTATGCAGACAAGTTTTCGTACAGTTTGCTTCGTCTGATCCATCTGCACAGTCTGGCTCGCCATCACACCTCCAAGATCTATAAAAAAAAATTATCTCAACTAGCAAAGATTTCTTTTACTATAAGAACAATTAGTTACCAGGTAGGGAAAAACTGAGCCTTGGCAGTTAATTTGCTTTATTTATATGTATGTTCCCCAAACTGTTTTGAAAAACTGCTTATTTTACAAAGACGAGCTGTTAGAATATAAGCCTATACATGCTTTTAATTCTAAATCCTAATGGATGTCGTATCATTGTTTATTTTAGATACAGTAACTCTCAATTTTTAAATAAATCTAAAATTGAAACGTTAAATATAAGTTACGATATTACACGAAACAAGATCTTAAATTAGTAGTAACTAAATCAACGGTTGTGAAAGATTCAATAATTTATAATGGTCTGAACATTTAGAAGTGCCTCCATGATGCTACCAAAAGAATCAACAATTTAAAAATATTCTACCATGAACTTGAAAAATCTCTAACTTGTATCACATTATACCATTTGTGAGCTCCACAATTAATTTACTCAAGATTTACATATGTAATTTTCTTATACTTCAAAGTTAGCATTTAGCCCGGTGAGTAAACACAAAATTTTCCCACAACCTTGCCAGTAGTAGACTCTTCGGTCTCCTGATCAGTCGCCGTGCGCTGTTCGGGTTCGAATCCCGTCCCAAGACAAATTTTTCTGTTGACTATGTATGTTGTGATTTTGTCCGTAGGTGGTAGACGGTCTCTGACTGCCGAACGGAGAGGTACCACCCGGCGGATCTCGTAGGCGGGGCCAGAATGTGTACATGTTGCATGTACACGTGTTCCCTCGCCAGAGTCCGTGTGGCTTTCCCCTGTATCCCCCTATAGCCCCACGGTACCCCATGGGTGTTTAGGCCTTAGACCTTCGTGGTAGTTGGAGTATAAAAAACAAAAAATCTACAGGGTGTCTCAAAAGGTACGAAATCTTTTGTAAATAAACAGCACGCCACTGAGTAGATTTAATTGGTGGGGGAGCATCGTGCTGAAGAGTCAAGTGTCGGGAAATTTAGTAACCATGCCGAACTTCACCTGAGAACAACGTGCGTTTTGCGTGCGGGCGTACTATCAATACAATAATTCGTTAATAGCTGCGCACCGTCGTTATCGAAATCATTACGGTTTACATGGTCTCCAAGAAGCTCTCAGTGCGACTAGCATTTTGCGATGGGTAAGAACGCTAGAGGCTACTCGCAGCACAACAGTAGTTTCTCACACGGGTCGTCCGAGAACTACTAGGGCCATTGAAAACGAGCGTGTTCGTCAATCTGTGCGACAAAATGCAGAAATGAGTGTGCAGAAACGAGCTACGCCATTATGAATCCATCGATCAACAGTGCACCGAATTCTTAGGAAGGATTTAAAGCTAAATGCTTATAAGATTCAATTGGTCCAACAATTAAAAAGATAGATTTGGTCTCGAGGTTAAATTTTGCTAATGAGATGTTGCAAAGGTTTCATAATTTCGACAACATGTTCTCTAGTGACGAGGCCCATTTTTATTTAAATGGGCATGTCAACAAGCACAATAGCAGGATTTGGGGAGAGGAAAGTCGGCATAATACTCACGAACGACCGTTTCATTGCCCGAAAGTCACGGTATGGGCCATACTTCTTTGAGGACGCGAGAGGCAGGGCCGTAACTGTGAATTCAGACCGTTATATCGCTATGTTACAGCAGTTTTTTGGACAGAACTACGTCAGCGACCAGATTACAATATTGACAGTTGGTTTCAACAAGGTGGCGCAAATTGTCATACAACTAACGCATCCATTGCTGCGGTTCATGAGCTGTTTACTGGACGTGTAATTTCTAGACGGGGTGACATCAATTGGCCCCCACGAAGCCCAGATTTAACTCCTCTAGACATTTTCCTGTGGGGCTACCTTAAGGAAAGGGTATACCAAAATGCTCCAGCTAATATAGAACAGTTGAAGCGGAATATCGAGGAGGAAATTGCCCTTATCACTCCTGATCTACTCCGTCGAGTATTCATCCATATGCGCTCAGTATTTCAAGAATGCCAGCGACGCAACGGACGACATCTGATAAATGTTATTTTCAAAAAGTAATTTCCAAAATGTCTCGTTTTGTATTTTATAAATAAATAAGTTGTGAGTAAAGTTGTTCGGATATTATTACATTTTCAAATATTTCGTACCTTTTGAGCATAATATATAAAATTTTGGATATAGGTAACTGACGTAGTCTTCTTTATCATAACGAAAATTTCCAAATCCTGCAGTAAGCAGGTACTGAAAACAAATTTAAAAAACTTTTTGATTGATTTGTTTGTTACGGACCTATAAATTATTATATATTATTAAAATTTATCAAACACTTCTGCCTACCACAGGATAAAGAAGTTTTCTTCATGCTAATACATATATCAATAACCTAAATCCATATCATATTAATTTCCATTCATCCATAAGATAAATTTCGGCTGATTGCAGCTTGAAAACGAAGTTATTTCACCAGGCACGCCGATGAGTGTAACGTCAAGCAATTAATCGTTACATGTTATACCCTGTTCAACTAACATTTGCGCCGCGCCACAATTCCTGAGCTTATTGGCTTATTGTTGCGTGGCTAATAGCACGAAAGCATGGAAATAGAGGACCTCCTTTTTTTGATATGGTGTAAATGTCATTTGAATACGGTATTAGAGGAATTGCTGCACGTCAGATGACATATATCCTTTAAATCCATGGCCTCCATTCATCTCTACTATTATATTAATTGGGAGATATACTTACAAATAAATGCAAGCTTTTGGATTGGTGCATTGGAATTCGTTCTTTTTGCATGGAATGTTGCAGTTTTCTTCATCAGATCTATCGTCGCATTGATACTCTCCATCACATCTCATTATACCTCTAATGCACTTGCCATTTTTGCATCTGAACTCAGATTCTGAACAGTTTCTGTAGACACAGTCTGGAAAAACATTATTCTCAGTTATCACTTTTAGTAAGAGGTTCTCAAACTTATTTCATCTACTGCCCACTTCAATTACTTTCTAGCGCCAAGTCAAAATTTAATAATTCTCATATTCTACAATCTTAGAAGAATTAAATTCAATAGATTCACAAATGCTAAAAAAGACTGTTTAAATTATCTACTTACTTTCTTCGTCTGAACCGTCACCACAATCACTGTCAAAGTCACATCGCCATCTTCCTGGAATGCACTTGTTGTTCTTGCATTTGAAATACGTAGGTTCGCAAGTATGGTAAATAGGATTATTGCAACTGCTAGGTTCATCCTCTCCCTCTGCGCAGTCTGCCTCACCATCGCATTGCCACGATTGGGGAATACATCTGCAATAAGGTATAGCAAAAAATCCCATTGAAAAATTAGGAGAAAATCAACTACTTGAAAATAAGGAGCTTTTCTGAAGGTCCAGTTTATCTTAGCAATTCTATCGTAAAATATATTTCAAACAAGAATCCCTGTTGAACTGGTTTAAATTACTATTTTTAATGGTTAACACAATGTTGTTAGAAAAATTTAAAAGCAAATTCAGTCGTTGATAAACGTGGATCTGAAAATTCTCCATTTCCGAGGTGGTTAAATTTTTACATCTTTGTGTTTAACGAGAAATTATACACCACTGGTTTTTGAAAATCAAGTAAAAAGTCATATTAGTTCAGCTTGGAAAGTGTGTCTTGGAGTTCGTCGTTATGTCCATTAAGAAAACGACGCTATTGTTTAATAACGATAAACTGAAGTACTGGTTAATAGAACAATAGCTCTAGCTTTAAGATATTACTGATACTAATTATTATTCAGGCAGCAGCGATGGCCGCAGTAGTAGACTCTTAGGTCTCCTGATTCGAATCCCGTCCCAGAAGAAACTTTTCTCTTGGCTGTGGATGTTGTGATTGTCCGTAGGTGATAGATGGTCTCTGAATGTCGAACGCGGAGGTACCACCCGGCGGATCTCGTAGGCGGAGCCAGAATGTGTGCATGTTGCATGCACACATGTTCCCTCGCCAGAATCCGTGTAGCGTTCCCCCTTTCCCCTATAGCCCCACGGTACCCAATGGGTGTTTAGGTCTTAGGCCTTCGTGGTAGTTGGAGTATAAAAAAAAATTGCAAAAATCAATGGACTAATGTGATTCCGAGAAATGTAGGTGCACTTCTGGACCTTCGTCTGGGCCTTTTTACAAGTTTATAATTATCACATCATAATGTTCATTATTTTTGTCTCAATTGGGTCAGCAGTTGGATCAGTTTTTCTGTACGTTTGCCCTTTTTGAAATTACATTTATTGTTTAAATGAGTAACTTTAATTTCTGGTTGTAATTATGAATAAATTTGTTTATTATTACTTTAAACCCAATATGCATGCAACATGCACACGTGTTCCCTCGCCAGAGTCCGTGTGGCGTCCCCCTTTCCCCTTTCCCCCGTATCCCCCTATAGCCCCACGGTGCCCAATGGGTGTTTAGGCCTTAGGCCTTCGTGGTAGTTGGAGTATAAAAAAAACACTAATTTTTCATGTAGATTCACACCCTTAAATATTCGCATATCATTAAGGAACACCCTGTATACTAAAAAGGAAAAACAAAATAAATGCAAAAATGCATTTTTTAAAATAACCTTTTATTTAGTTGTTAATGAAATGAACTAAACACGTAAACACATTTTTTCTGATTGGAAATATTTGAACCATAATGAAGCTCCTTCATCTCAAGTTTGACAGTAGGACAGAAAAAGGATGTAACACGATTTTCTTTGGAAACATGACATGACGGAGGCTCATTATCGTTTAAATATTTCCAATCGAAAAAAAATGTTTACACTTTTAGGACTTTTCATTAACAATGAAATAAGAGCTTGTTTTAAAAACGCATTTTCTATTTATTATTCATATTTTAATGTGTTGAATCTTCAATCTTCCTGACAACACTCTGTAGCACCCTGTATACATAACCTGTGTAATTGCACAAATATTAATCTTACCTTCCAGAATTGCACCTAATATGGTTCGGCCCACACGTCCTAGTCTGACAATCCTGTTCTTCGTCCGAGTTGTCGGTGCAATCGTTGTCTTTGTCACAGACCCAAACAGCTGGAATGCACTTATCGTTGGCGCACTTGAACTGGTTCGGAGGACAGGACGCTGGAGGGCAATTCTCTTCGTCTTCGCCCAAAGGACAGTCAATATGTTTGTTGCAACGCATCTTTGATGGGATACACATTGGAGGTTGGGAGGAGTTGCCCTCACATCTGTAATTGCGAGAATTTTCGAAAATGAGATTATGTTATTTTGGAAGTTATATGATATGACATGTCTGTTTGTCTGTCGGTCTGTCCACTAATCTTATAAGAAGAGAAGACCGCTCGGATTTTAACTGAATTTTTACACAATGTTACTAGTATGCCAAGGACGCAAAAGCATTATAGTTTTTGAAAATCGGTCCGGTGGTGGCAGAAGAAAAGGTCAAAAATGAAAAATAATAAGTCACTCATACTTCCTTTTTTTTACGTTTCAGAGGATCCTGATCATTTTTGGAAAAAAATGAGAGGTGTAAAAAGTTTGTGGGGGTTGCGGGGTGGTGAGGGTTTATCTCAATTTTTGTGATGTTAGTAAATTTATACGCTCCCAACCTTAGTAATTCTATGCCCCTGTTAGATATACAGGGTGTAAACGTTATGGTAGTCATTATTGAAATGGGTAATAGGGGGGGGGGTCAAAACAAGTCAAAAAGTTCATATGACCCATGATCTAAAAGTCAATAGATCTTTGTCTAAATGGCTTTATAGTTTACAACTTTAAGTGCTTTAAATCACCACAATCTTACTAATTTTTATAATCTAAGCTAAAACATTTTTAAATTGGGTGATTAACAAATAAATGGCATTAAGTTTTCCTAAGTTAAGCCAAAATTTGTAGTCAGTAAGTAAGTAAGTTTCATTAAATTAAATATTTTAAACACACATGACAACAGCGCGTCGGTCATTCATCACTCTTATCGAACCGGCAATCGATCGCAAACGGTAACAGTGGTTAGGTATTGTTCGCGTACGTCGTTGTGTTTATTTACAATGTTCTCGAATCAAGTGTTCGCCGACATGTTGTTAGTTTACGGTGAAGCTCGTCAGAATTCAAATCTTGCAGCTCAAATTTATCGCGACAGTTTTCGCCAACGGGTCCACCCAGACAGCAGGACATTTGTGCAAGTGTACCAAAGACTTCGAGATAAAGGAAGTGTTCAGCCCAATAATATTCTCACTCGTGAAAGACAGGTTACTGTAGAGCAGGAGGAACAAATTTTAAATATCGTGGAAGTCAATGCAGATATCAGCACTCGGGAATTAGGTTGTCGCGTAGGACTATCGCATACCATAATCCATAGAATCCTACGAGAAAATTTGCTTTATCCCTACCATTTACAACGAGTGCAGGCCTTGTTAACAGAAGACTATCCTCGCAGACTAACATTCTGTCAGTGGTTTTTGCACAAAAACATTGAATTTTTTAAAAACATTCCAGCGACGGACGAATGTACTTTTACGCGAGACGGGATATTAAATTTCCATAATACTGCTCACACGTGGTCCCAAGAAAATCCTCATACCATTCGTGAAGGTCATTTCCAACGTTTTAAAATAAATATTTGGGCGGGTATTCTTGACGATCAGGTAATTGGCCCTTTCGAGTTACCCCCAAAGTTGGCAGGAGAAGGATATCTTAGTTTTCTAACCAATAACCTACCAGAACTTTTGGAACAGACCTTAGACAACATGCCATTACAACGAAGACAGAATTTGTGGTTTCTTCATGACGGGGCACCACCACACATTTTTAGAGGCGTCATTCAGTATTTGAATGATGATTATCCAAATCGCTGGAGCAGTCGAAATGTTCCTGATCCTCGAAAATGGCCAGCAAGATCTCCTGACCTCAATCCGATGGATTTCTGGTATTGGGGAGAACTTAAAGGGATGGTTTCTGGGGCCGGTCCAATAACAACTGAAGCACAACTTCGCGAAAAAGTCGTTTTTCTCTAAAAAAATGCCGTTTTGACCCCCATGTTATATGAAACTTTTTGCTTCTTTTAACCCCCTCTATCACCCATTTAAATAATGACTATCATAACGTTTACACCCTGTATTTCACACAGCAAAATATTCCTAGCGGACAGATCGCGTACCTACCGGCCGCGGCTGCTGCTTCCGGCGACCTGCCGCCGGCCTTGATTAGCGTTTTGTTGTTCTTGTATTGCACATATTTGTGCCGCGACACAGCATAGGATTTTTCATACGTGACGGCAGGAAAAGATTGTCTATGGACCGATTTTTTGCATAGAAGTTTTACGTATCAATCTATCACTAATTTCAACTTACTTCCTTTAGATCTTAAACAATTACCGGCACGAAAATTTAAGGTAGCGCTTAAACAATATTTGAACGCTAGACAAAAGTATTTGTATATCACAACATCCTAACAAGTACTATAAAGATAGGTTTGCTTACTTCATATGGGGTGTGAGCAACTCAAAGTAAGCGAATATGTCTGAATATGGTAACAGGTGTAAGGGTTTAATTTGTTGATTATTAAATCGACCTTTTAATGACAATCGATAGTCATTCCAAAGTTTCTGTATGACTTCTAATATAATTGCTAACAAAAAGTATCAACACGAGATTCACTTGAAGGTCGAGGTAGCGTTGCGCTAGGTTTTTATACTGAAGACATTAGTCATCTATTATCTATCGTATACATACATACTTTTATACCTAAGAACAAGTACAATCGAGCAAATTATGCCGAGTAAGTTACGGTAGAACAAAAATAGACCAAGTAACCTATAGTAGATTTCTATTTTGCTCGATTGTAGCAAATAACTTGTTGAACGAATATCTTACCTGAACTGGCTGTTAAGGCAGGTGTAATGTTGACAGTCGCTCTCGTCCGACTTATCCCCGCAGTCATCGTTTCCATTGCACAGCTCGGACGGATGAATGCACTTGGTGTTGTTGCACTGGTACTGACCCGGTTTGCACACGAATTTTCTGCAATCTGCCGGTTCATCGCTACCATCTCCACAGTCGTCTTGGGTATCGCACTTCCACCAGAACGGAATACATTTCAGGGTGGTTGTGCATTCGAAGTGCGCTGAAGTGCAGTTCGCTTCGCAGCTAGAAAGAAAAAAAACGGCTTCAAGTATGTTGACTCTGCATTCCCGCGCAGCTCTGGAGTTAAGTTCTTAGAGAAAGTTGACTACGAACATGTATAATAAAGGACTAAATTTTACATATTTTTCTGATAACTATTATGACTTATCCCCCGTTTCCGGCATGACGTCGACTGCTGGGACTTCCTGTATGTATAAAATATGATTTTCTGTAAGCATGAGATCTAAATAAATCCATCCTACTGGTTAATTTGCTATTTGTTAGTTCAAAGTGTTGGTGACCGGCAAGAGTCAATGGTAGCCTAGTTTTACCTTCCCAACAATGCTACTATGTTATAATATTTGGGAATCCTCTTACCTGCGACCATCTTTACCCAGGACGTAGTTCTCGGGACAAGCACATGTGTAGTTGGGCTCCTTGGGGCTCAGTAAGCACAACGCTGAACAATTCGCCGTCAGGCAAGGGTTCTTCTTCACAGACGGTTGTCGATACGGGTGCACCACTCTGATGTCCATCGGTCTGTGCAGAGTTGAAAACACGTTCTTACAATCCTCGCCAGTGTATTTGTTGCACCTTTCTACTGATTTCGTCTCCCAATCTGTCCAATAGATGTAGTCTTCCCAGATGTCTATTGCGAACACGTGGTGTAACTGTAGTTTCGGATTTTTCTCTCTACTTGCGACAACCTTGAAATATTAAATTTAATATATTTTACTAGATACCTTAGTACGAAAAATATCGAGTGCTGCAGATATGCATAAGCATAAAACAGATGTATTTAAGATCTGCCAGCAACGGAAGTTTGACTTTTTTATGTTTCCAACCATCAAGTTCAGACTATTATTAATGCGTAAATTTTGTCATTATTCAGATATTTGCGTTATTTTCTAGAGTAAAACATAGAAATACTATATTTTAAATAAAATGTCTTTTTCTTAACTTGAATGCAATTCGATGGGACTATTAATCTTATTTATTAATACCTTGATATTATTTCCGTCCAGATCTGACACAGCTATGTAATCCTCCCTAGCATCTGCCCAGAATAGTTCGTTGGTTTCGTAAGAAATCGTTAAGGCGTTAGGCCACCCTAGGTTGTTCTTGACGATAACTTTTGCATCGCTACCATCCATACCAATTTTACCGATGTGAACTTTCGTACCCCAGTCTGACCAGTACATGTATCTGTTTATTGGGTCTACCGCAAGCGCTCTAGGTTCTTCCAAGCCTTTAGAGTAAAGCATCCGGCGGTACTTTCCGTCTAAGGTGACTACTTCAATGGTATCCAGGCCCTGAAATTATTTTTTTCTATAATGTAGTAATTCTTGAAGCTTCTAGGGTCGTATTCAAAGAAGTCACCGAGTGTCTCTTAAACTACATTTATGATTCATTTTACATCGATTGACTGACTTACATGGAACTAACACTGCAATACCGTGTAATGAATCTTGTTAACATTAGACAGAGTAATTATGAGTAAATGTTCCATCTTAAGCTTTATTACATACTGAGAAAATATTTTTTTCCAACCGACATGGAAAAATTCGAGGAGAAGGTAAAGACTGAAGGAACTAATAATCGTTCAACAGATTTGAAGAATCAAACGTATAAGAGTGAATGCCCCCAACTTTTGACACGTACGTTCTTATGCAAAGCCGCTGAGCAAGTGACTATAAGTGACACACGGAACTGCCAAAACTCGAAAATGTGTTTACAGGATCAGTGTCGAGAATAAATACGGACATTGGAATCATATAACTATGTTGTTTTTAACACTAGCCTTACCTTATCCACCCAATATAGATTTCTCCCCACCCAATCTACAGCTAATCCATCAGGATTTTGTAAAGTAGATGAATGTAGCATCTCTACTTCGGTTGAATTTTTCTTGTAATCACACAGCCTCTTTATAGATGATCCATAGGAAGTGACGTCCGACCAGTAGAGGCATTGCGTGGACCAATCGTAATCTAGAGCTACTGCGTTGGTTAAGTTATGCGCCAAAATAGTGCTGTGGCCCAGTAAATCTACTTCTCGAATGTAGTATCTAATAAATAAGTAAATGATTATAGAAAAATATAACCAGATATCGTCATCTACTAAAATATGGAAAATTCGATTTGCATATCAATTTATCTAATAAGTTTAAATACGTATTTAAAAAATAAAAAATGATCTACTGATATTCCCATAAATAAGAATTAATATAAGTTCTCATGCGAATGTATCTGTATTTCATACCATCAGTGGTATTTCCGATAATTCCATCAATGTCAGTTGATTTATTCTATGTAATCATAAAATCATCAATAATTACTGACTGTCAGGCTACAAGCTCAATAAACATATTCCAGGGTGAATGCTGATGAATCACAGTATATACTGATCTTACGACATTCGCCTTAAAATCATGGGAAGCAGTTAGACCTGTTGCAAACATTTGGGGGTATAAAGTCCGGAAATCGTCGGTCACAGAACGGCAATACAACAAAGAAATCAGACTTTCAATACTAAATGAATAAAACACAAACTATAAGGCAGCTTTTCAGTTAAATATTTCACTGACTAATTAGATGATTGGCTTCCAATGTTGCAAAAACATTTCAATATCCCTCAGGTTTATCAAACATCTTGTTTTTTTCTATATAATATGGGAAAATGACAAAATCGCCGTCGAAAACAGAATTTTTGAATTTGTTATTTAAAAAACGAACTCATCAAATTGTGAGGTAACTGTCGAACGTCATTCTTTTAAAGATGTCCATGAGTCTTATGAAAATTGAAATAATATAGGATCTCTTGCAAATGTCAGGAAGAACGCGGTCGATTTCGTTCAAATGTTGCGAAAATAATACAAAACTTTCACCACATAAAAATGCAGGCATTTCTATAAACTGTGACCAGTGTTAACATACCTGTTTGCCAAAATTAAAGAAACTTTGACTGTAGAATTCGCCCGGCATGACTTCTTATCATAATGCAGAATGTAATTCTTGTCGCAGCTGCAGTGGTAGGATCCCCTGGTGTTCCTACAAATCTGGCTACACGGCCTGTCTGCGCACTCGTTCACATCGTCGCACTGATGTGGATCCTTCGGGTTCCTCTGGTATCCCTCCTTGCACTTACATTCGTACCCGACCGGCTTGTCGACGCATATTTGAGCGCATGGGGATGGTATGGCTGAGCACTCATCGATGCCTGTAACGTTCCAGTCTAGAGATAATTCATTTTGCGGTTGGTAGACCTTTAAGGTGGCTTTAAGCCATGTATTGAATGAAGGATGAAAATACAGATGAATAATCTACAATCAATATCTTATTCATACACTTCCAGCCCCGGTGATTCTACACGCATCATACATTTCAATGTACATTAGCCCTTAAAACAGAAAAATTATTTTCAGTCAACGGATCGTGTACCTATTGGTCGAACTTGATATGAGCCACGGGGTTTGTAAATATTGCAACTTTGGTAGTGGATCTGAAAGACTTATGAAAGCAGGTAGTAGACGGCGCGGTGATGCGATATGCACATACGAGGTGGGCGAGATATAGTCATATAGACGATGCTTGTAATGTAATTTAATAAGGTAACTTGATTTCGTGAGGTATCACACATTTAACAGTGTTATAACAGAACTTCAAATGACATAAGGCTACCGTGTACGGACACGCTTATTGCGGCAATCTGAAGGTTTTTTTCCATAAAAAAAATTCAAATAGTGCACTAATGGTTCTGACAAAACCTAAGTCTTTTTAATGCCATTGCACTACATGGAAAATTGCACTAGAAGTTGTTTCGAAGGCGTGCGAAGTATATCAATTTTGTATTGTTTATTTTGTCTAGACTCTTAACCTTAGGGGCAGTAAAATCTCTTTTCGGAGGGGAGGATTTTGTTGTGCTACATAATTTGTCAATGATGTGTATAAAATGCTATAAAATCCACAGAACGTGCACACTTACGACATGTTTTCTCATCAGAAAAGTCCCCGCAATCGTTCTCCCCATTGCACAGCAGCGTCTCGTTGATGCAAACTCCATTCTCGCATGCGAACTTCCCTTTGCCCGTGCACTGATCCGCCTCTTTCTTGCACTGATTCTCATCGCTGCCATCGCCGCAGTCGTCTTTGCCGTCGCACTTGAATAGGTCAAGGATGCAGTTGCCGTTTTTACATTGGAATTCAGCGGGAGTGCAGGTTTTGTAGCAGTCGGAGGGTTCGTCGGAGCCGTCCACGCAATCCCTAAACATCACCATAAATTCTCTTTTCAACGTGATCAACAGTACTTGACATTAATACTTGTATTCAGAAAACAATATTTTTATATTAGGAAGTGTGAAAATCAGATAAAATGTTCCTATTGTCTTATGACATTTAAATGCTCCCTCGATCTTATAAATTTAAATAATGAATTGATACACTGAACAGACACCATCAAATTTTTGGGGACTGACCATTAATCATACATTAGATTTTACCAATCATGTAGAAAAATTGTTTACTCAGCTAGCAAATATTTCTTTCATTATATGCACAATTAGTTACAACGTAGTGAAAATCACTGCATTTAGCAGTTACACTGCCTTATTTGGAAGTAGATTGAGATATAGCATTCCTTTTGGAGTGTCTGTTCCCAAAGTTGTTCAAAAATGTGCTTATTCTATCAAAACGAACTATTAGATGTATAACTAAAAGCAATCCTAGAGCTACATGCAGGTCTTTATTTGTAAATCTTAAAACAATGACTGTCGTATCGTTACTCATTCTATAAACAGCAATCCTTATTTTGAAAAATAATTCCAAATTTGAAATATTAAATATAAGTTACAATATTAGAGATTATTATTATTAAGATTTAAAATTAGTGGTACCTGAAACAACACTGGTGAAAGACTCAATTCAAAATTTACACTAATGACGTCGTTGATTAGGAATGGAACATGAAAATACCGCTCTTATCAATCAAAGATCCTAAGTAAAACGCAATTTATTCAATACAGATTTTTTACTCAATAATCATACCTTTTTGCTCCAGAAGAAATAGTCTGACAAAAATTTTCTTAACATAAGTCATGTGAAATAATGTTATGTTATTAAAAAATGAGATAGATGTAGGTTTTTCGACATGAATCAAAATATCTCAGTTTTTGTGTGTACTGGTTAGGCTATTTACACTAAATCTACAACCTTTTAAGCCTTTGCTTATTTATATATATATATATATATATATATATATATATATAAATTTTTCTCGACTTCAAAATTATAACTTGTCTATCTCGGTAAATCAGTATTTTGGAAGCCATGTTTAGGAATGTTCTATAATCAAAAAGATTGTCATTGTTTTTTTAATCAACCTGTAGTGGTCAACAGTTTTAGTTACAATTAAATACGAATATTAAAATTGTTGGTGGCTTAATTATTATTTTTGTAGTTTATGGGATATTAAATTTTTTCATCATTAGCTAGAATGTATACATAAAAGTCAGCTATAGCAGTTACACAGTTAATATCTAACAACAAATTAAAAATAACTGTAGCTGAAAATTTGTTACACATATAATTCGACCTCTTATAGATTTATGTCTTACCTGTCGCCATCACAGTAGTAAATCTGGCCTATACATTGACCATCAGAGCATCTAAATTGGTTATCATTGCAAGAGTCAAAAAGGCAACCTTGCCTCACATGCTCATCCGCCTTATCTTGACAATCGGCTTCGCCATCACAAACCCAGTTGAGAGGTATGCAACGTCCTGTGCTGTTGCACCTGAATTCCCATTTTCCTGTAAAGCAAAGTTAAAATGCACTGATACTTCGCTCAAGACCCGGTGGTTATCACTGCTCGGGGACGCAACAATCTTGTACAGTTTAATGCTTCTAAAACACAGAACTGTACCTTGACTAACAAAAACCGTCCTAGCGCTTATCCCGTTTTGATGGATGGCCGAGTTCCGCCAAAGAGCCGTTCACTTCGGATTGTCGGAGTCCAGATCACCGAGGGCTTGATCTGGCACGAACACATTTCGTCAATAGCGGCAGCTGCTGGGAACAAGCTAGACTATTTGTTTAGGGCTAAGAAGTACTTTTCTCCGCATGACCTTCTAACTCTATATTAGGCCCAGATAAGGCCTAGCCTCGAGTATTGCTGACACGTTTGGGGTGCTGCCACCCCGACTACATTATTTATGCTCGATGCATGTATTACTTGACATCATAATATCTCTCCATTCATCACGTTTTTCAAATTGAGGTGAGAACTCAACAGTGGTGTTATTGAAACAGGTAACTTACCACACACTGTATGCTGACAATGTTCAGTTTCGTCGGACTGATCCATGCAATCTGGGTTACCATCGCACTGCCAGGATTTTGGAATACACTCTTTGTTCTGGCACTGGAACTGATCTGTGCGACACTGTTGCTCTGAAAAAAAAACATGAAATTGTGGTAATGAAGTGTTCTTTAATTTTTGGCATTGATATCATTTGACATCAGTCAAGTTCAGTGATACATATCTTGAAAACGTCCGACGATATTTTTGTAAAGTTCTTTTGCATACACGATTTTATTCGGGTTTGGTGAAGAAAAAACGTTATAGATGAAATTTAAAAATGCTTACTGCAATTCAATTCGTCGCTTTGGTCTGGACAATCGGGGACACCGTTGCAATGCCAAGACATGGGGATGCAGGAGAGATCGCTCTCGCACAAAAACTGATTGTAGCGGCAATGGTGACTGATCCGACAATGCAATTCGTCTGAACTGATGCTACCGTGTATGTGACTGTCCTTGCAGTCATCAACGCCATCGCACTGGGCTGTTACGTTGATGCAACTGCCGTCTGAGCATCTGAACTGGTCCTTCCTGAAAATAAATCATTTTCATATATAAGCAGTACCACCAGAGACATCTAGAAACGGAAAATCAAAACAAAAATCTGATCTTCATAGTAATCAGGAAGAACGTATAGAGGCAAGAAATGTAACACACAGCCAGCAAAAACCAACAAAAAGTGGTATCGACGAGGCAACTCCGGTTATCAGTACCATCAGCGTCAATCAGCGAAAAAATGGTAACAAACATTGGGAGAATCAAAATAATGCAATACATGATCAAGATGATTTCCAAACAGTACAGCGAAAAACTCGTAAGGAAAACAAACAAACTGTCATTGGCAGTGCTGAGATCTCTGACATAGCTGCCGTGGAAGGAAGAACATCAATATTCATATCTGGACTGTCAACAGAAGTAACTGACGAACAGATAAAAAAACACTTAGCAACACAACAAATCAACATTTTGGAAATAATAAAACTACCAATCAAGTCCGAGAACATTGCGGCTTTCAAGGTAGTTGTTCCTAGATCTGAAACTGCAAGGGTCACTGCCTCCAGTGTTTGGCCTAAAAACACAGTAATCAGGCCCTATGAGAAAAATCGAATCATAAATTTTCGAAGACGCACCCATGCAACTTCAACTCAATAGAGAATAAACCAAGGAAGACAGTCTTAGGGATCCATCACTACAACCTTCAATCATTGGGAAATTGCGTAAGCGAGCTGGAACTTAGCATAAATAACCACGATCCGTGCCATTTTCTATGTATCACAGAGCACTGGCAAGATCAACAGCAAATTCAAGCTGTTAAGATTACAAATTTTGAGCTCATCTCATTCTTCTGCCGTGAACGAGGTCATCATGGAGGGTGTGCTATCTACTGCAACCAGGATATACTTCAAGGAAGAGCGAAAGTGCGTGAAGATCTCAACAACATTTCGCAGTGCGGTGTGTTTGAATGTGCAGCCCTTGAAATAACCTTGAAAGAGCTCGTATTAGTCGTCGTTTCTATATATCGTCCATGTGACGGTCAAATCGACACGTTTTTTGAGAAACTTCAAATAACTCGAGATAAGATTAGTAATGAAAAAAAGAAATGTGTCATAGCCAGCGATTTTAATCTAAATCTGTTGGTGACAAATAGGAAATCATCAGATTTTATTGACATAATTCATTCCTACGGTTTGACATCAACTATTACCGATTTCACTAGAGTAAAGAATGACTCCAAATCATGTTTGGACAATATTTTCATTAACACAGACGTGAACTTTCATTCTAAAATTATTGATACACTTTTTTCTGACTATAAAGGGCAACATACCCTCTTTTCACTCAATACCAATATCGATCATGAATCCCAATTGAGTGTTTTCTAATTCACAAATAAATAGTTTTCTACAAGATCTAAAATCAGCATCATGGAACGAAATTTATAGTTTTGTCAACGTAACCAAAAAGTGGGACATATTTTCTCAGATAATACAAAGCAGTTTCAATTACTATTTTCTTCTGAGGATAAAAAAGTGAGCTGCGGGAAGTGAGAAACCTCCTTGGATTACTCTAGAATTGGATCGACTCAGGAACAGGGTGAGTGCTCTTCAAATGATTTCCCAAAACGATATAAAATATAAAGATGTTTTTAAAAGTGATAATCAGACATATGAGAAACTCTTAAAAGATTCAAAATCGCAATACTATTTAAACAAAGTAAATAATCATGGCAATAGAAGTAAAGGAATTTGGAATACAGTGCGAGAATTAACTAACACACCCAAAACGTCGTCAGATCAGTTTGTTTTACCGGTACATAATGATGATAAATGCTTTAGCCCACCTTTTCAATAAAAGCTTTGTCGAAGCAGCTCCAAAACTACTCTCAAAACTACCAACCTTGAACTAAAAAGTAAAACATAATTTTTAACTCCAATAGATCATGACGAATTGCTCAGAATTGTATGCAACCTAAAAAACACAAAAAGTTGTGGTGACGACAACGTTCCAATTTTCATCATTAAAAAAATGATAACCATAATATCTGACCCTCTTCTTAATATCCTAAATACATCTCTTAGTGAAGGAGAATTCCCAGAAGCATTAAAAATGGCACTTGTATTACCAATCTATAAAAAAGGCGATCCTGATGATATGGACAACTACCGTGCTATTAACTTGCTGATAAATTTTTCAAAAATCTTTGAAATTGCTTATAAAAACCGTCTTATTAATTTTTCCACACAAATAAATACTTCACCAATAACCAACATGGCTTCATGAAAGGTACAAGTGTGTTCGATTTCACCATAGCAATCCATGAATATCGAGAAAATCAAGGAGCAGCATGTGGTTTATTTGTGGACCTGTCAAAAGCATTTGATTGCATTGATCACGAAATATTGCTAAACAAATTATATAAATATGAATGCGTACTACTGGCTTAAATCTTATCTGTGTAATAGAAGACAGAAAGTAATTTTGAACAAAACCGGGAAACGAATAACAACTAGTGCTCGGACATATAGTACTCAAGGCACGCAAAATCTATGCAGATATAACTATTCTGATACCATATAAAGGAACGTCCGATATCCGAATCTTGATAGAGACCCAAATAAACCATATTCAAAACTGGCTGCAGATGAATAAGTTAGCATTCAACATACAAAAAACGTGTTGTGTCCTATTTAAGTCAAGCCATGCCACCAAAGAACTAACCTTAATTAATGAACCTCTATGTATCAAAAGCGATACAATCCTCCTGGGTGTCACATACGATAGCTGTCTTAAGTTTGATAAGCACATTGAGAGTATGGCTTCAAAACTCAATCAAGCATGCTATGCACTACGAGTACTCACTTGTCACCTGCCCTTGCAAGCTGCCTACTATGGGCTTGCGTATTCTATTATGTCTTATCAAATAACAATTTGGGGTAATAGTCCCGCAGCAAATAGAATTTTTATCATACAAAAGAGGATAATAAGAACAATGTTCAAAATGGAACCTAGAGAGTCATGTAGAAGTATATTTAAAGTCAACCGCTTACTAACATTACCGGGAATTTATATCTATAACACTATACTATTTATCTTTAGCCATAAAGAAAAGTTTGGAAAAAACGTCTTCAACCATAGTTACAATACTCGCAAAAGTCAGAAATACTTCTACCCATCACATAAGCTAAATTCTACCGAAAAATGTCCACATTACTCTGCACTGAAACTTCACAATGCTTTACCTCAACATCTTCAATCCATTTCAGCATTCACTATATTCAAAAAAAGCATTCATATTGCTGTTGTTATATGTTGTCTATGTATGTTTGTTTCTGTATGTACTTTAAAAAAAATTGTGTTATTTACACTGTATCACAATGACATGTTATAAATTTCTTTGTTTTTTGTTTATAACTGAGAAACCAATAAATTTCTATTCTATTCTATTCTATAAGGGTTGTGAATCCTTCCAATACGACGAAAATTCAAAATGACTTCAGACATACAGGGCAGGGCTTCCTCGGATTGAAACAAGACTTACGTTCATAATGTGGACAATAATGTACTAGAATATATCAAAATGAAACATTTGGGAGTGTATGTTTTAATTCTCACCTACAAATGTCGCGCACATGCGTACAATTCATCTCATCAGAATTGTCCCAGCAATCGTCGTCTCCATCACATATCCACTGCCAGTGGATGCAGCTTGTCGTATACTTACAATTGACGAAGAATTCGCCTTGCTTCTGGGTGCAATTCGGCA